AACTACCGGCCTATAACAGTGGCATCAGTGGTCTACAGGCTGGCGATGCAGATTATAAAGGAAAGACAGCAGGCATGAATAGAGGATGAGGGGGTGCTGAGGAAACTGCAGAATGGGTTTCGTAAACACAGGAGGTTAGAAGACAATCTGTTCTCACTGACGCAGTGCATCAAAATAGCAGAAAAGGAACACAGGCTTCTGTGGCTAGCATTTTTGGATATCAAGGGAGCGTACGATAGCGTGGTTCAAGAGGAATTGTGGGGAATACTAGACACACTAGGCGTGGAAGACGTAGTCACTAATCACTTTAAAGGATATCTAGAAAGGTAACAAGGTAATTATACAGTGGGAAAAACAGGTATCCAAGCCTGCAGAGGTAAAAGGGGGCTTAGGCAGGGGTGTCTTCTGTTTCCCTTATTATTCATGATGTACCTACAAGGATTAGAGGCCAAATTTGAAGGACGTGGACTGGGCTTCAACCTCTCTTTCGTCAAACTAGGAAAACTCATTGAACAGGCACTACCAGCACTGATGTACGCATATGATATAGTGCTAATGACTGACAAGGAAGATTTGCAGAGATTGGTGGACATCTGCGGTAATGAGGGTGATAGGTTAGATTTCAGAATCAGTAAGGTAAAATCATAAGTCATGATTTTCAATGACAATGAAGGTAGTGAGCTTAGAATACAGGAGGTCACGCTAGAGATAACAGATAAATACAAATAACTGGGCATATGGATAACCAATGGGGCCGAGTACCTAAGGGAACAAGAAATATACGTGTCTACTAAAGGTAACAGGAATGCAGCGGTAATGAAAAACAGGGCACTGTGGAATTACAATAGGCATGATGTTGTCAAAAGAATATGGAAAGGGGTCATGGTTCGTGTTCTGACGTTCGGCAATGCGGTCTTGTGCACGAGATCAGAGGTTCAAGCAAGATTAGAAATTAAGCAACGTAGAATAGGTAGGCTTGCTTTAGGAGCTCACAGGAATGCACCAAATGAGGGAGTACAAGGTGATATAAGATGCACATCATTCGAGGGCAGGGAGGCTAGCAGCAAGATAAAATTTGAGAAGCGATTTAGAGAAAGGGGGAGGAGTGTGGGGCCAGGAAGGTTGTCAGCTATTTGTACAAGAGAAATGTCGATACAAAATGCAGGAAGCGAACCATAACATTCACGGCTAAATACTTCAAAAACAACAGGGGGCCAAAACAAGAACTATCAATTAAGAAGAAGGTGAAGGAAATGGACACCGATATGTGAAGAATAGACATGATTGAAAAGCCGGCACTATAAATCTATCGAACTTACAAGCAAGAAATTGCCAAGAAGAGGATCTATGATGATTCTCGGGGTAGTTCTCCACTATTTGAGGCCAGGACGGGAGTATTGCGAACCAATACTTATCGAGCCAAATACGAAGAGGTAGACACGGTATGCTCTGCATGTGGAGAGGAGGAGGAAACTGATTTGATTGATATGTGGGGTTTAACGTCCCAAAACCACCATATGATTATGAGAGACGTCGTAGTGGAGGGCTCCAGAAATTTCGACCACCTGGTGTTCTTTAACATGCACCCAAATCTGAGCACACGGGCCTACAACATTTCCGCCTCCATTGAAAATGCAGCCGCCGCAGCAGGAAATCGATCCCGCGACCTGCAGGTCAGCAGCCGAGTACCTTAGCCACTAGACCACTGCGGCGAGCAAGGAGGAGGAAACTGCAAAACACTTGATTCTGTAAAGGGCTTCATGCTATAGTTCAGGATGATGGCGCAGAGTTTTTGAAAGCACTGGGGTTTTGGGGACAGAGGGAGCAAAGTAGACTTTAAGCGGGTAGAAATAACTAGAAGGAAGTTATCTGAATGGTAGCTACAATCAAGGCCCGAGCGGACATTACATTTTTCACTGCAAATGCCAGCCATTAACTTCCCTATTTATAGGGGAAAAAAAGAAAAATCTAGGTTTTGTTCACTAAGTATTAGGTTTAGGTGGCGTTAGCCGCCGCATGATCTAAAGGGTACAGCCCAGTGTTGTATCCGTTACAAAAACTAAGTACATTAATTGTTACACCAACAAAAAAAGAACGCATTACCACCCTTCGTTACCAACAAAAAATGCAACGCATTACCATTACAGTTACCGAAAAAAGTAACGGACGTTGTTTCTGCCTGTTGCTCATCAATAATGAATATCATTTTGTTTTGGCAACAGAAACTCTAAATAAGAATATTTTAAAGCTTACACTTATTTTCCACACAAAACTTCTAAGCCAATGACGATTTTACACAAAATGTTGAGAATTGTTTGTACAAATGCACTGAACCTTAGCAATGTCATAGAGCTTATAGTTAGTTGCCTCTACAGGTGGATGAGATGGCTTCGGACTCTAGCACATGTTGGAGCTTATTGTATAGTCACATCATGCACAATACGAGATTTAATCATCAATGCCTTAACATGAATTCCCACAAACTAGCCCAGTTATCTGTTCTCTTAAGGATAAACGCTCTCCACTAAGCACCCATCACTGGACTCTCAACAAATTTATGGCAATCCTTTCAGCATATGCTTATAAACGCACAAAATTTGTAGTAGTAAAGGATTGTTTTAATGGCTTAGCAGCCTGTGAATATATTAGTGAAATAGCATTTCTTGTTCATTTTAACTGGTTTACTTACCGCGAAAATTGGGAGCGTTTATGTGAAGGTGTTCAAAATCAGCCTCGCTCGTTCTGGAGGTTTTTAATTAGAAATGTTAACAAGAACAAAGTCTGCCAATACTACACGGGCCAAGTTCAGCATGCCAACAAATTACATGCTCATCATATGAGGTCGGCAAGAAAGTTGGGCATACCATCGGTAACTTTCATGGTACGAGACAGATAGGGGCGCAAAAGCATTTTGTCAGTTTTCTACACCTACGGAGCAGAAAAAGGCCTATCTATAAGACCTTCTTCACGGAGACAAGGTTCACTTTGTACTGTTGGGCGAAGGTACAAAAGCTGGCTTTTGTCACTGTGCCGGTTCAGAATTGTGGTGCTGTCGAGCACAGGGCAGCAGTCGCAGCTACCACAATGAATAGCCAGAAAGCCGTCAGTCTTGTTCTGAACATTATTGTCGTGCTCTTGGAGACTGTCATTGAGGCACCTGCCTGTCTGGCCGATGTGGCAGGCTCCACACGACAAAGGGACTCTGTAGACTATCCCCCAGCACAGATTCTAGAAATCGATTATGATGCCTCACCTGGCATCCAACTTCGCGTTTCGTGACCGGACTGCTCCTCTGTGAGAGCAAGGCTAACTTGTCAGGGGCCGAAAAAACCGCATGGACACCGTGTCGGCCCATCTTTTTCAACCTGTGTGGCGAAAGCTGATGTTTGTAAGAAGTGACTGCGACTTTTTTGCGTCTGCCTATGCTTTCCTGTACGCCAGTGGTTCTCAGCTATGGATGTGTCGGGGACCCCTTGTGGACTGGTGGAAGTGATGGGGGACCTCTTGCAGAGGAGGGGAGGGAGGAGGAGGGGACATAGGCATATTAACAGAACTGGGGCGTGAAACAGGTGTCTTTTATTGCTACCAAAAACATCAAACATGCCACATCACTTCATTTTGGACAGTTCATCAATACGTGGCAAAGTCCCGCATGAAAAAAAATTGAAAAAATGGAAAACAAAAGCGGGTGAGGGTTTCGCGGATCATAAAAATGGCTTTGCAGACCCCATTTCTGAACCACTGCTGTACACCATTATCTACAGCACATCGTACGTGCCCCTGAGCTCTGTAGATGCTTTCCGCCACAGCAACCAGTAACGTCTCAGGATAGCCAGCCTTTCCAAGACAAGCCACAGTGCGGCGGAGAATGTGCGTGCAGAGAATCGGTGCCTGCTAAAGATACCCCATTTCCCCCCTCCCCCGAATTCCTCAGACTAAACTGCGTCCACGCTTTCTTTGTGAATGCTTATCAGGCATTCACAAAGCAGTAAGTGACAGTGGTCTGACACTGCAACAAAGAAATTCGTCTGGGCGAGTTCTGAGAATGTGGCACCTTCAAAATAAAAAAGTAATGAGTAACGTGGTGTCTCACGTTACCGAAAAATTTTAAAAGAAGTACGTTACCCGTTACAGTTCCGAAATCGCAATGAGTACGTTACTAAGTTCCTGAAAAAAGTAAAGCGTTACCGCCAACACTGGTACAGCCATATCAATCCATCAATCCATCCTTCAGCATCATCGGGACTCGCAGAAGAAGGGTTAGGGTTGAGTGTTGGAAATGAAGACAGTTCGATGTGGGTTGTTCCAAATGATGCGTACGTGACTCAGGCTTAGTTTGTGACAGACTTGCCCAAACTACGTAGAGCTACGAAAACGGTCGATATTAGCCACAAGGACAAAAAGAAACTTTTGATTTTCATCTCTTGTTGAAACAACACTCAACATGTACAGTGTGTTGTCAAGGCTGGACTTCAATCAAAATACTTTAAACGTGAATGAAGATGAAACGGTCATCATGAAGCATTCAGGAAGCGCGTCAGCTGACTGGCTGCTGATGCCATTTGCAAAAGTTTTACATCACGAACATCTCGTGAACGGCAAAAGATTTACTTGCTACACAAAGTATGGATGAGTCAATTACAGATTTTGGCAACGCACGAATGCAGCCAGTAATGAGAAAAACTATATCGTCTTCTATGGGTGCCAGAGACCCAACATGCCCAGTTTCAGAAGATTTTGAGCCAAAGTGGCCAAAATACGAAAAAAAAAACACTTTGAAATCTACTACGTCACTATCAGAAATTCTGGCGCGAAGTTTAAACATGAAACTTTTTATACTGAGTCTCTGATCTACTAATAAACTTACGATGATGAAATTAACAACAGTAAAGTTTTGAGAGAATAATTTATCAGCCTAGATTAATTCCTCACTTCACTTTACCATCCCTTTAAAGGCATGCATGTGTCGGGCTATAAACAAAAGCACAGCCACCAAGTTGTACAAGAACAACCATTTCATTTCATTGTGAATTACAATTGCTCATACATACATGATGGTGCCCTGTGTACAATAACATCATTTCTTTTATACACAACAACTTCAACTGAGCAGAAGCGATAATACACATCTGTGAGGAAGTGCTGCAAACATACAGACCTTCCAGCACGCATCAATGCTCATCGCAACAGCAGCTTGCATGCAGTGTAAGATGGCCACATGTTGGAAACTTTACCCAGCAGCAAAAACTATGAGCGACCTCAACGAGGTCCCATTTGAGAGCAAACAGGGAATGCATTTCCAGGCTAGGAGACGCACACACTGCAGGCACACTACAAGTATCCGTTTGGTTTGTGAATACTTTCCAGGACTTTATCAAGGCAGCCAAGACATGCCACATCTAAACGAAATAAATTTCACCTCTCAAATGTCCTAGACGAAGCTGTGGCTGCATACAGACATCACTTAGCATGGCCATCAATTTTTGACATGAAAACAATCAATAAGTGAAAGCAATGTAAAAAGAGAAAGCACGATTTAGTTTTGTAGAAATGCATGTCACAAGAAGTCACCTGCAGCAAAAGAAATGCAGAATTTAGAATATGTAAAAATGTCACTTTAAATTCAACTACGACATGGAATACGAAGCTTTACAACAAAGGTAGGGTATTTAGAAATGAATGCTACAGTCACATAGCTGTACATGACCATGTGACCACACCTGCATCAAAGGGAAAAGTTATTCAATATATATAAGCAACGCTCAGTACTTCAGAGATCATGCATCAGGCGGCAATAAGGTGGCAGACTGTCCATTTGCGACTCCGGAAGTAACACAACATTTAGCGTCATTGAATACGACAAGTGATAAAAAATACCAGGTTGGCGATGATAGAACACGAGCACAGCAATCACCACATCCATGTATCTGCTGGCAGTGACTGACAATAAAAGTATCCAACAGGCACTGCACAAAGCACAAGAATAACCTGATCCGAATACTGAAATATGAGAGAAATGTCCTCAAACACCACAAACACAGAACCATAGAAAGACTAGCAACACAATCTGGTAAATGATAAGCAATGGGGACAAATAAAAATTGTCAACCTACATCCAGTGAGGACATTATGAATTCACCCATTACAATAAAATCTAAACATTGAATGTGACCTCAAGTGCACCTAGAACCAATTCACGTTATACTAATGTTTGCTCAATTTAACATAGTCCTGGCAATTTGCATGCAGAAGCCACACTATGAGGCACGCTCCAATTTATTTTGGTGTCTTGGGGTACCTACCCATTCTTATACACCGCCTAGGATTGAAAACTTGAGCTTAGAATTAGCACGCCATAACCCGCCTAGCTGCAAATGAGCCATTGACATAGCACATAGTGACCTGCGCAGTACAAATTGCATAACCACTGCCACCGCTATGTTTCCAACCATTAAAACTGCTCCATAAAAGTCGATTAAGGGCACTGCTTGCCATCGCACTGGCTGTGCAAGCTAAATATAGCAAAAAATCTTGGCTACAGCGGAGCACTTTATTGATTGATTGATATGTGGGGTTTAACGTCCCAAAACCACTATATGATTATGAGAGACGCCGTAGTGGACGGCTCTAGAAATTTAGACCACCTGGGGTTCTTTAACGTGCACCCAAATCTGAGTACACGGGCCTACAACATTTCCGCCTCCATCGGAAATGCAGCCGCCGCAGCCGGGATTCGAACCCGCGCCCTGCGAGTCAGCAGCCAAGTACCTTAGCCACTAGACCACCACGGCGGGGCAGCGGAGCACTTTATGCCGACTGTGTTTACTAGTATGTTGTAAATTGCTCATTTAATTTTGCACTGTGAAGAAGTTCTGAATTAATTCAATCAGCTAATTTAAGCAACGAAATGCCAACAGAAAAGGGCAACTGTTGATCTCTTATTTTTGAATCTTAACCCACTGCTAGGAAAGAGCTGCAAGTAACAATGCTTGAAAGGCGGTTGTTTCTGGCACTTCATTTTGCACTGCCTGGCATTCCCTTTACGATCAAGGTTTACCTTTACATGGGAACCAATCAGTATTATGAGCACCGCCTCTTCAAAGAACATTTTGGGAATATCAAGCAGCATGCAAAACCACCTATAGTTGCGCACATTCATCTTGAAACGCAGAGGAAGTATGCAGAAATGCCAATTTTATGACTACACCTTGGAGAAGTTCACAGAAAGGTCTGAAGTGATAATGTCCATGGGGCCAGCAAGAGTATTTGTGTTGGTCAGGGTAATCTTCTTCAGCAGCATTTTATGCATGCCTTGCTCCCTCAGCCTCAGCGGGAGAGCAGAAGGCAATCGCAGTCCTGGTGAAGTTGAGTCCTTTAGTCGAAACAATACCTCCAGTGACATTCTCTACTCAACAACCATACCTCATGCAGCCTTTAGCGCACTCACTTTGCAAGGTGTTTTGAAACAGCTCACACACATAGTCAGATAATTTGAAGAAACTTCAGTTTGATTATAAATCATGCGAAGTGTACTAAAACAACAATTTTTGTTATCACACTTTCAAATAGCTAGTATGTTTGGCTTGCTTAGCATCCCTCACTTAAAACAACACCTTTGATAGCAAATAAGATGTCAACTAGAGGACCTGGATTTCGTGGCTGGCCATGGCAACCACATCTCGACAGGGGCAAAATGCATAGACACCTATGTGCTAAACAGTTAGGCGTATGTTAAAAACCCCACGTGATCGAAGGTTAATACTGACTCCCTCATTACATAATCATACGATGGTGTTGGCATATAAACCTTGACAATGTTTTAAGCAGCCTATGTTTCGGGTAATTTATTTATTCCTGGCAAAGAAAATAAAAAGACTGCAATATTTTTTTCTTACTTTTCAAGGATTGCAGTGGTCTAACAAAAATTCGAATGATTGGCCATTCTCCCAATACAGATTTTGGTACACATATTGGTGATGAAACTAGAAGCTCTGGTTTTAAGCATACAGAATCAAATAAAATAATCGAGTCCATCTTTCTCACTCACACATTCTTGATTTTATAAGAACACCAATTAAATCTGTGCACAATGACTAGTGCAAGCAATGCCCATCAGCATGCTGTTTGCAGAAAGCCCACAGTTGTCTTTAAATGCTAGGCAACTTTTTGCCAAGACATCCGACACCGACAACAAAGGTGAACATCAAAAATTGCAGTAAAATTGGCAGATATCTCCAACAACCAGGGATTTTCGGCCAAAAGTGGAAAAGGTTACAAATGTAGTGAGCCAGGGAAGCCTTGTGTGCAGGCCAACCTGAACTGTGCTAACAGCAATTAAGTAAGTTGATATTACCTGCATTTTTTTCTATGGGATTGAACGATCACCAACATCTAAGAAAATACACAGCCATGCCTACAAACATAGTTGTATAAATGCAAGGACAAGTGGCCTGTGCAGACTGCTGGACTGACGACAAGGAAGGATACACAGTGGAGTGGTGCATTTAGCAAGAAAAAAACTCGCAGGCCGACCATTTTGCTCACCTCAAACCAATGTCATATAAAGCGTGGAAACTTTGGCAAGATGGTAGGACATAACTGAATATACGAACAGCGCAACCTAGAAGTAGTTACAGCGTAACTATGGAAGTAATAAACAAGAACACAAAAGAACGCTGCAGCGCTCTTTTCTGTCCTTGTTTATTACTTCCATAGTTATGGTGTAACTATGTCTAGGTTGCACTCTTTGTATATTAAGTAATGTTATATGACGACGAAATAATAAAAATATACAAAGTAAGCAGTGAAAATACACTGCTCACGTGTGGAAGGCTGCTTGCATCAACAATGCTTCGTGCAATGTATACATAATGCAACCATACGAAACCCTCCAATGGCTAGCAGCAGTGACAGAGCACATGCTGACCTTAACAGTCAGCTTGCTTACGTGAAAGTGCCATAACATGCCTGCTCCTACAGTGGCGATCAAGTATGACTCATCAACATTAGGCACATTTGCCTCAACTGTTTTCAAGTACAATCGGCAGTTTATGTACAAGAAATAGTTTTTTGACCCACACGCATGTTGGGCGATAAATTTCACGTCGGAACTGCATGTTCAGTGCTTCACAAGTGAACAAAAGGCAGCGAGTCAGTTTTCAAGAGGTCATTTTTCATTCTTCAAGTACCACATACACGTAAACACTTGCCAACTCACTTGGTTTTCAATCCTAACCAAGACTAATAAATCTTCACGCACAATCTGTAGCAGTTCTTGTGAGGACTAACGTCGTTCTTACAGGACATCACCATCATGAACAGCTTGAATGCAAGGCTATGTCTTGCATTCAAGAGACTTGTTTAATGTTTCACAAAAACAGGGCTCTATAAGCAAACTAGAATATTACGTTTTATTGCACCACCGAATTCCGAATATACCACAGTAAAAACAATCTATCTGCTCTGGCATTTCCAGACACGTTTTCCCCAATGTGCCCCAGAACAAAAAGGTCTGGCAAAGGACGAATCCAGCTGGTAGTGACAAGTCACGGTACTAGTAATAGTATCGCAAGAATATGGCGAGTAACTGCAATGTATTAAGCATACATTCCAACACCAAATAATGAACAGCAGATAGGAAATTGGATCCACAAACAAGCACCAGCTGTAAAAGAATGGCTACACGATAGAAATGCTCCTGAAGCGTACCGAGAAATCCCACGTGTTTTTACATGCTCTGAACTGAACCTTAGAGCTGTCGCCAATGTGCCACAAGACATCTATGACATCTACCATTACTGTGAGGGTGACTACTGCACATAGGGCAGAGCAGTAAAAGAAGGAAGCACAAGTGGAGGAAACAAATACACAATGCTTTGACCCACTTCATCAATTTTAGTGCAGCAGTTGTATGCTGGTATTACCGCAATGTGAAAATATGCTCATGTGAAATGTGCTTCAGAAGCCACTCACTAAAAATAAATATATATAGCAGAGAAAGCTGCAATAGACTCAACTACAGCTATTTAACGAAAAACGACGAAGTCTAAACAATGCCCATCTGCAACACTTAAATAAAGATGGGGCTTCATACAGACATTTGTGCACTCGGACCAAGTTGCTGCCAAGAAGAAGCAGAGAAAACAAGCTCTCATTTTTCTCTCTTTTTTCTCTTACCACATCCCGTGCAAACACATTTTGGCACATGGCTACTAATTCCATGAACAAAAATGCCATAAATTTGCCTGAAGGGCTGAGCAGGGCATGAAACGGCTATACAAGCATTTGTAGTTCTTTAGCCATATGTGATGGCACACATTCATGTGCTAACTAAATCAACGAACATCATGTCTGAAACTGCACGAGCAGACATGAACAAACAGTTGGTGATTACAGACAAGTGGCATACAGAGGTGAGTAAACTCAGCATTCTAGCTTCTTTGCGATAATGCCAGCTGTCATGATAAGGGCTGCAGAGATCCAGGATGCCATTGGAGACAATCACAAGATGCAACCAGCAAACTTGGCCCACTCAACCTTTAAAATCGCTATTTCCATCTTACGCAGAACTGTTCCAGACCCAGTCAGGAACGGTTGCCTCCCTTGCCTGGGTGCCACCCAAAGAGAGCACAAGCTTTCCCCGGATTTCAGTGTGATCACACTTCGTACAAATCACCAAATTAATGCAGACACCAAAGTTTAGCCCGAAGTGTCCCTGAAACTTTTATCGTAACAAAAAACTGGTCGACATATTGGTTTAATCATACTGAATGGTGTGAGGCACAAACTGCCACAGGTGAGGCCCTCATTACCAAATACTCGTGCCAACAAGAAAGATGGCCACCGCTTCCGAAATTTCCTTTTTTACCACTAATGCAGAAGAGCCAGACGAAATTCACAGCAAAGGTTGACAAAAGCAGGGCATACAGGAAATTCTGCATGACCAGAACAAGGCCCAGCTCGGTCACAACACTGACAACCAATACTGAGCAATTACAGATTGTAATTGAAAGCAGGGTCCACTCGACGATATCAGTAGTCGGGAAAGGCACTGTTTGTTTTGAGGGGTTGCATAAATAGCAGTCCTTGCATTCCAACATGACAGCCCAGTGCATACCTGCCAAGATCCAGAGAGGGGTAGTGAAAATGCACGCCACACATAATTTGGACATGATTACTTTTATTGACACTTATCACAGTAAACCTTCTCTGTTTACTTGTACCAACCCTTGCAAAGGCGTGACGGTTGGAGTCACTATAAATAATGAGCTGGGTAAAAAACTGCACTTCCGAAAAGAGGCTTACGCAATCTTCACTGCCATAATTAAATCATGCTGCTGGGAGAAAGCACAATCTGCCTCAAAACAAGGTGCCTCGATGCTGGACACACGCAGAGGATAAAAATTCTGCGTTAGGAGGCACCTGCACGACACGATATTCAAGCGACCGATTCTGCGGCGTTGCACTCAAGTATAGGGCAACAACACGGAGCAACAAAAAGCAAAAGCAACAAATTTTTGCCGTTGTCCAGTCGAATACTCTCAAACGTCGCCACACTGAGGGATGCAGTTGAACTAGTTAGGATGGCCACAGTAATACGAAAATCCCAAGTTATCATGCACAATGGTGGTACTACTGTCGAAATATGCGTTAAAACAGAGGCTCGGAGTCCCGCATACAATGAACAACGGCGGCCACACATTTAGGTTAGAGCAAATGTGGAGGTGTTGTAAACTTTACCACGCTTCCTTGCATTCACACTTTTCATAGGGGCATTGACTGCAAAGGTTCGTGACTCACGACCACCCAACGTCCTTCCACTCTTTATGAAGCACACGCCTATGTTTACATGTGCACCACTGCGAAAAAGGTTCAGGCTGGCTGGATTAAAGTGACGACGAATGCACAAGAGAGAGGCTGCCTTGACGAACACAAGTCCACTTGTTGAAATGTCGGCTCCGGTGACATTCACTGTTCCAATCATTTTTCTTCAGTAAACGGCTACATGTTCCGTTGAACTTGGCTCTGGAAAAGACTCCATAGGGTGAGGTTCGAAGGCCCAGGAACAACGGGTGAAGCCATTTATTGATATTACACTTGAACGTGAGTAAAGCAGCACATGAATGGCATGCTCTTCACCCAGATTTAATGTCACACGGAAAGACTTCGCAGGTGCCTACAACGATGCCTTAACAGCAGGCCCATACAGTACAAAGTCATTGCATACAAAGTGCAATCGGAAGGCAAGGCCTCTCGCAAAAACATTGAGGATCCTGACCTGCTACCAGATGCCATGAGAGCGACCACAGTCAGTTGCATGCGGCTGCCCACAACAGCATTTTGGCAACAATGGTCTAAGAGCGGAGAATACGGCCACACTTTTTTTTAAATGCTGTAGTTGCGTGCACACTAAAAAAGCTAAGAGATATAGCGAACTTTGTAAAAAGATCAATGCTGTTCTTAATAGACTCTTCATTTTTATCAGTAATATTGCATGCATACTAACTACGAACTTCATATTTAAACACAACAGCATGACCATCAGGCCGATTACAAACAAGATTGACTGCATAATGAAATCACGGATATTACGAGATAAACAAATTCCCCTCGAAAATCTCATAGAGACACATGTGTTCAAAACCTCATTATAATAATGTACAATTGACCTGTAAATAGATATGAGATAAAATTGTAGCCAAAACCAAAAGTTCTGTATTCGTGCTTATAAATAATTTTCTGCAGTTTCCAGTATCTCATATTGTCAGATAATTGACTGAATTGATTGATAACTTTGACTCTAGCAAACACTCATACAATAATTCACTCATCCTTCCGAGAAACACACACTACACTCAGCGCTCGGGTGGATGAAAGTGATTGTATAGGGGTTTGCGGGAGCCAAAGTTGTGCCAGTTATTTTACAATATGATGAATAACCAACCAGCCCAACAACAAGTAAGTTTTATTGTTCAGTATCTCACACTACTAGCCTCCCTTTGCTTACTGCCACAATCATCTTAAGTGGGCATAAGTTCATTTCAGACAAAACTTTGCAAGCAGCCTTTAGCTCAGCAGCTGGCAACCAGGACAGCCTGTGTTTCTATAACAGTTCAGCTAACACTGTCAACTAAGGCTTGCAAAAAAAAAGCATTCATTTGTCCCTCACAAACCTTTTTCATAACTTTTCTAGCAAGGACTTACCATTAAGATATAAAATTATAACCAAGAACTTGTGTACTGACATGTTTAACTTCTTTCTGTTAATAACACAGGTATAAAACCCTCCCCTTGTAGTGCCTTAGGCCTTGAGGGCATCAACTATTACATAAAAACAAAAACAACTAAATAAGCAGCCCGAGCATTGTCCCACCATTATGCAGACATAAAACTGCCGCATGTCACAAGCGAATACTTACTGCTCGCCACAAAATGTGGAACATGGCAAACTGTAGTAGACCTAAGCAAGTCCCTTGAAAATCGCATGCATTGCGAACAGCTGGTGTGGGCATGTTTCGGTGACCAAATGTATGTGGAATTTCCCTAACACACAACAAATGTGTGCTCATGGCGAATAGAAGATGTAATGAAGGTATTTTCACCTTTGCATTCAACCTACCATCTATGTCATCAACACATGCAGCATTTCAATTGGTTTCAGACTTGGCCACGTCGCCTCATCGGTGGTGTAAAACATTCTTGCAAGAATCTCAATGCAATTCGTGCAACATGGCAGATTTGGAACCCTTGGCAGGTACGACACGACTGCATTCTCAACAACCGAACTACATCACAGAGGAAAGTGAGAGGGCACAGCAAATGGGTCCATGAATTCCTTACCATAATACACACACAACACACTTGCAGGGAGGAAGGTAACAGAGTGAGGACTTGGAAACTAAGCTCTTCTGCTCACAGCTAGAAAAGATTAAAGGGAAAAAAAAAACACGCAACAGTGAGAAGAATTGATCCCTTACTTAAAAAGTAACCGTAATAACAAAAATAAATGCCATGCCTTTGTAAATTATTGCCGCAACAGAATCAGGTCATTTCTCCTTTCTTATTTTGCATGTTTGTTGCAAGCTTTAAGTAATGCTTAAAATAAAAGGGCCTAGAAGGGGTGGCTAGAAAGAAGATAAATGTTGCGGCTGTGACTGCTGAACACAAGGCATAAGATATAAAAGAAATGCAGTTCATGCAAGCGACAGCATTGCACAAGAATTCCCGCCTCGGCTAGAACCACGTGCCTTCAAGGAGCATCCCTGCCCTCTTCTTTGGCAGTCCACTCGCTTCACGTCCACAGGAACACCCGGTGCATAAGACTGCAGGTCACCGTCCAGTTTCATCTGACACCACCGTGCAAGTGGCTTTGGCAACAGTAACAGGCAGTGATCCTGCTGTTGGGAGGAGGGGGGCCGTCGACACGTTGCCTTCTCGCGTTCAGAAGAGACCACAGTCCTTCAGATTGTTCTTGATGATGACGTCAGTCACGGCGTCAAACACAAACTGGATGTTGTTGGTGTCAGTGGCACACGTGAAGTGGGTGTAGATCTCCTTGGTGTCCCGGCGCTTGTTCAGCGATTCAAACTTCATTTGTATGTAGGCGGCCGCTTCTTCGTACGTGTTGCTGCCTACACAAGGACAAGAAGGCGTCACCAGACAAGAAAGGCACACTTCAGAGAGACTAGCAGTGCTAGTGCTGAGCAAAGCAAACCAGAAGTCATTCTTCGATCACAAAAAATTGCCCTCACTGGCTTTATCAACAACAGGCCTGCATTTGGGTGCTACAGGAAAAAGTGTTCAATAAAGTGTCATGTAACTGCCTGGTTCCAGTACATCCTTATGCCTAACAAAGATGCAGCTTTTCCGGAGACAAAAGTTGAAATGACATCTAGGTTTATTTTGGAGACAAAAGTTGAAATGACATCTAGGTTTAAGGGGGGACGTGGCAAGTAAAACTAATTTTTTTATTAATGTACTGTTTGTGATGAAATTTGGTGTGTGTATGTGGATGATTGTGAGGATTCCAAATATGAAAACCGTTTTCAAATACCTCTTGTAGTTTTTGAGTTACAAGCATAATTATACTAATTAATGCTCTTCACACTTAAAGAGATAATTATTGCTAAATGAAATTATTTTTTCATATTATTATGTTCCCAAAGCATCAACTTGTGCAAAGAAGCTATTAGTTGATTTTTCTAGTTCTTGTAACCATAAATAAAATTTCCAAAACATGGATGTTGTTTTGCGCACACATCGCAGTAATTATAAAATGTGTTCTAAAAATTTTAAATGATGAGTAAGAAGAGAGATAAAGCTTTATTGCACTGCTAAAGGCCTCCTGAGCCTAGTGCAAAAAACGGAACGACTCTATCAGTCTTTGTTAGAAAATGACAGATGTTCTAGCGAAGGCACATAGGCGAAAATCAAGAGTTGAGAAAACTGACTTTGAAAGTTCACTCTTGTTTGGAAGTTCACAACATGGCTAAAACACTCAGAATCCTCCTGGGCAGTAATCCTGAGATGCTGTGGCCTTGGCCTCTGTAGAGCGCAACCCAGTTTTGCGCTTCTTTGTCGTGGAACAATGCGCTTTTTGAGCCCTCTTTACCCTTTTGGCATCTTTTCGGCTGCTCGCCGCAAAGAGCAGTCTCCTGGATTGAAGCCCAGTTGAGCAGTGATCTCTTGCAGCGCACTCTTGCAGCCACCATTGAAACGGCAGACTGCATCTGCAACTGCACTTTCCACACTTCGAAGGGAGGCGAACTGGCTCTTGGACTGGAGTGACCAAATGAGGCTGTTCATACTCTCCACAGCGTTCTGGGTTTTTCCCTGCGCACACCTTTCAAGGAGCTCTTTGTTCGAGAGGCGCTTGTAGATTGGCAGCAGTGCCACTCGCACGTGAGGGGGCAGTTTATGTTTGTGAGGCGGCAGCGGCTCTCCCTTGGCCAATGCCTGATTGTGCGGGCACCAGGAGTCAGTCCCACTTGGGCACAGGTTGTGGTGTGGATCCTGGTCTGTGGATGTTACATGGTAATAAGTGGCCATGATGGCCCTCTCCATGCCAGGAACATCGTTGGGGTGGCTCTTAATGGCCCAGCCATAATAATTCGTCAACTTCTTTATCAGGCCCTGCGTCAGCCGGCCTTTGCCACCCATGCTCAGTCCTCGGCCTTTGGATTTGTGCTCATCAAGAAGGTTGCGCAAGGAAGTGCCCATTCTTTTTTTCACATGGTTCACACACTCCTGTTTCTTAATCACCATGTAGCCATACACCTTGTCTTGCGTGAGGGCAAGGTACGTACGGCTGTCACCGTCGCAGAGCACATTGATGTATCGAAGCTTGTACTTGGTAAACGATCTTTCAAACATGATCCTAGCTCCTTCTACTTCCATTTGGCCTGCATTAGCATCGGTGTTCTTTTGGCACTGTGGCTTGTGTTTCTCAAGCCACTCCTCATAGTTGTCGTCACCAGGCTTGGGGCCAACAGCACAGCCTTGGCAGTAGTTGGACAGGACACAGTGGTCCAAGACCAAGCCTGTGTACAGCTCGATTACACAGCCCACGCCAATATGACTTCTGTGCCCCCTCGTCATCCACGTGCCGTCGTAAATGACGTCAATGTTGCCTGGCACTCCTCCTAGGTCCTTGTAAATGTCATGCACCTTCTGTGCACTTTCTGCTTCAATGCGGGTGGCAGCTGATGTGGTGGCAGGGTGGCTGTACTTCCTTTGCAGTCTCTGGTAGGACTTGTGGTGCAGTGCTCGATGCGAAATGTCCATCGCAGAAAAAATGTCATTTATGGCAGATTGTTTTCTGCCAACTGACTGCACAGCCCTCAAAGCACGCACGTTTACCTCAAAGGGGTTCGTTTTTTGTTGCCCGGAGCACCTCGGGGACGACCACGCACTGTTCACTCTGCCACAATTGTCACAAAAAAGTTCCATCCTCGCCGCGAGTCCAAGGCAGTGCGTAGTCTCGAGGCGTATCGACCCTTCGTCGCACTTGTTGCACTTTACTGACGAAAGCAGACCGTTCAGCATCTTCTTATTTACAATGAAGAATGTGGAGTCCTTACCGCCGTCATTTTCGTCGCAGCCTTCGTTCAGAAGCTCGAGCTTCCGCTTTGAAGCGGACTTCGATGCTACGGCATCCAAAACATCCCGCCTTGTCTGCGCCCGCTGCGCGATTTCTTCACTGCTCGGAATCTGGGCCGAAACTCGCGATAGAATGTTCGACGCGCGCACGCCCGGAGTTGCAACGGCTGCCGACGCGGTGCCACCGCAATCGGGTTCGCGAGAGCGTCCATCACGGTCGACGGCATCCGGCGGTCTGACATACGACGATGTGGCACCTTCCACACTCTCGGCCTCACAACAATCAGCGAAGGGTCTGAGTAGAGGCTCCGTGACGCTCGAAGAGCATGCTCCGTCCGGAACTGCGACTGGGACGGCAGCCGCAGTCGTCTGCCCTTTGTTCCAAGCTTTCCGACGCTTGCCGTACTTGTGGACGCTCCGGAACTTTTTTTGCGGCAACATAGCACCGCAGTATGAGCAAGCACTCAGAAGAGACCACCGATGTAACAAAGCTTGGTAAAAAAAGCACGCGAACTATCACAAAAACAGCAAACTGGCAAAAAACGAAGCGCACGCCGGATGATTCTCGACACGGCGGCCGCAGATGCGCTCGCGCTTCCAAGGTTGCCAAGGTGCGCGGCGCAGCTTTGACCAGTAAGAGGTCGCGCCTGCTACCACGTGACCCGCGCAGCCAATTGCCGTTCTTCGTTTTCGTTTTTTTACTTGCTCCTCGCGCTTTTATTTTCACTCGGCGAAATACGAGACCACGACCATCGGGAAGCCGGCTTTCTCCTCTTTCCAAAGCTACCAAAATGGCGGCCCACGGTCAACAACTTGGCGCGTTTGTGCGGCGTGAACAACACCGTTTCAGGGACTTTTTTTTCGCACTTTTTGGCGACTAGCCTCGGCAAAAACACTATTTGCGGGATTTGTAGCACACATTTCGCTGTAATATTTTAGAACAAGGAAGTTGAAGGTCTGAAGATTACGAAAAAAAATAAATCAGAAAATCGCATATTTTGACCAAAATCGGCACTTTACTTGCCGCGCCCCCCCTTAAAGAGGTATTGACACAAAACTTTGCGTGCGAGATGGACCATGGGATCGATTCCCATGAACATGGCCATAACCTCTGCAAAAATTCAGCAGCAAATATAGCTTGGAAGGTAGTTTACATGAATCCTGAGGTTTGCATGTGCCACCAACCCTCACGGTATTGGCACCGTCAAAAGTAACCCCCATGGTGACCTCCCTACTTCCCTCACGTCCCCCTGCTGCAGTCAGTACAATGACGATGTCATAGCCACCGTTTTTCTTTTGCCGCATTTGCTCCAGCAGAATAGCACTATGCGGTTGCTTGTGAAACCGTGGCCATGGCCCACGTGATGAAAGCTTTGTGTTTGGCAACACTGCTGTCTCGTTCCCTGTTCGAAAAAACTTTTCGATAAGAGTGGGCGAGTACTCGAAATTTCAAATATTTTTCGAGTAGCGTTAGCTATCCAATACGCATCAAAATTTTACTAGTTGAACTTCCTGACAATAAATACGGTCACCAATCATTTGACAGTGGCCCCTTCAGATTTTTCAATATGCTTCACCCCATCACAATCTCGTACTCCGGCAAAGCTGCATTTCAGGCTGTGCAACGATTGCAAGTGTATAGATTAACCAAAACGCTGATTTAGTCAAGGAGATAATAGATGTGGGAGAGGTGGGGCCTCAATTAATACTGTTTTGGACCTGAAATTGGGGCAGGAAGCCAAAAAGCCAGACACCTAAGATTTTAGTCTAAAATTTCAAATGGCGTTCTACAGGCGACTTTCGTTAACTCAAACTCAAAGGGACTTCCGAATTTCGTTTGAATTGTCAAGAAATATGAATAATCAAAATTCCTCAGCTATATGGCTATGGGCAAGGTGACAAATAGATTTTATCACATTTAAAGGGGCCCTGAAACACTTTTTTGAGTAACCATGGAATTAGTTCACTGGAAAAGCTATTACCTCCCAAATTGTGAACGCCGCAAAAAATTTTAAGAATCCGACTAGTACGAGCGGAGTTACAAAGATTTGTCACACCCTGCAATCACATTCTCTCTTCTCTCGTCCCGATGAAAGCACTGGAAGCTGAGCAAGGAGTGATGGGAAAAGCAAACAAAAAACGTCACTCGCGCTTCGGGACCTTGAGCATTTTTCGTGTTTTTTTCTTCGAATACGCGGCTTTTTCAGTGTGATCACGTGCACACACGTGGAAAAATGACGGCCTCTCGCGGTGACCTTTATAACAACTGAGCGCGCCATGTTCAAATCAGCCAATGGCTGATAAATGGGGTTTCTACGAGTGATTTTTGAGCGTCTTCCATGATTTGTTGACAGAAGAGAAAGAAATTTCTAGCAGACTTTGATAACTTATTGTGAACTCCAGGCTGCGTGCTACCCAATAACATTTGAATGGCGTGTTGTCGGGAGCCTCTACTACCAATCGGCAACGTTTTCTGACCATCCTCAAAAAGTGTTGCAGGGCCCCTTTAATTTAAAATTTTTTAAGCAACTGC